AGATTGAGAGAGATTGAGAAAGATTGAGAGAGATTGAGAGAGATTGAGAGAGATTGAGAGAGATTGAGAGAAATTGAGAGAGATTGAGAGAAATTGAGAGAGAGAGAGAGAGAGAGAGATAGAGAGACAGAGAGAGAGTCGGAAATACTTGGCCGGGGATATTAATAAATGTTTCATTTCTGGGACTTCTGACGGCGATTCCTTTCTTTTTCGGGAAGTCGCCCAGCGACTTGACTACCTCGATTTTATATCCTCGGCTAGAGTTCGCACTTTTATCTCCCTCGAGGCTTGTTCGTAGGGTTGGGTAAGTGAAATACCCCAGGTAATTTACGTGGTTTTATACAGTAAATTACTAGGTATTTTACTCTAGCTTCATACGTGCTGTAAATTACATGAACATGGGTTCCTTATGTTTCTGGGTTTCCTGTTCCTGTATCTAACGGTCATACGAACTAATATGCATCGTTATGAATGTATGGAAAGCTAGAATGTTGAAGCCTAGATCATTTTAATGGTTTACTCCTACTTGTCATTATTCTTTATTCCTTTTTTTTTCACTAGAATATTTATTCACAAGTGATTTATACTTTAGCCACTTTAAAGATGTGAGGTTAGAGCGCCGCCATCTTTGTCGGGTAATTTGTTAGGTATGTTACTCGAATGTAAAATACTTCCTTTAAGTATCTTACGTAAAAATACTTCGAATGACGCGTCACTACCCAACCCTGCTTATTCGTCCCTTTTGGAGATTCCAAGTTAAAGGGTGAAATCTTTGAAATCAGGTGCCTTTTCTCCGAGACAAATTATGCGTAACTGAAGCAGAAAGCTGTTAAGACGCGCGAGCGTTTACAAATGCATTTACGTCGGGCGAAGTTACGCCCCCGACCTCGGCAATGACGCACGATTGACGCCAGCTTAGTTTATGATTTAATAGCCAATAGTTTATTAGGGAAAGTGTTCGCGACGTTATCACAGGGTGACACGTAACCGCGTCAATAACTCACGTAACGGGTCTTCCCGGTGCAAATTGTTACCTCGTTGGAAAAGGCTTAAGGCGAAAGTTAGCATATTATTACCGAATACCCATATTTAATCATTTTCAAAAGACAGATCACTTAGAAGAAGTGCGAGAGATTAATCGAGACAGCCTCAATTGCGTTCGGCAATTGATTATTAATCATTAGTACGGAATAAATGGAACAAGGGCACGGACAGTGAACTTTTTGTAAACGTTCCTTTAATACTAAAATATAATAGTTAACGTAATAATAATAATGTCACTTTCATTATCATTATCATTGATATTAACATAATTCGGCTATAAATCTAAGAAACTAACAAAGATCGCGATGACTATGTACACGTGGACAGGGATAGGATGCCTAACAAGGACGACTTGCAGGACCCTCGCCCAGCTTTGACAACCGAATTTGACGTTTAAGCGGATTAACTTAACCCTCGTTAATTTGCAACATCTACAAAAAGACTTACATCAAAGTCTCTCTCTGGTGCCGGCCCGGAAATGCTTTCCGGGCCAAGCATATGTACACGTATATATATGTATATACTTTTCTTTAACGGAACAATCACACATAGACACATTTCCCATTCGTTTCGTCGAACTCGCGGTTTACGTCTTACGTCTATTATTTATACACCCGCTAGTTCGACATTTGGAAGATATTTGCAGCCCGTAGCGAGAGCCGCGATCGTAAAGTTCGCGTTAATCGCTTTCGATCGGTCAATGACGAAACACAGCCGGACCTCGCATAACGCCCGAGAAGATCGGCCTCCTCGACTTCCTTCTACTCCAAGAGGAATAAAAAAAGACCCACTCATCGGGACGATTAAAACGTTCCGCGTCTGGTAAATCGATTGGTGAGGCGGCGTTAAATAAAAAAGAAGAAAAAAAAAGAAGAAGAAGAAGAAGAAGAAGAGTCGCACATGCATATACTCAACGCGGGATTATTTTCGGGATATCTTCAATCTTTGGTTTATGGAGTTCGTCTAATCAGGAATGCGTTATGCGCGATCGGGCCGACATTGTCCAAGCCGACCGGGATTTAGCTAAACCTCGCCCGCGCGAGGTACATTTCTAGAAGCAGATGCAGATGTCCGATCTCTCGGGTGGCGTCTTTTCAAGACACGAGGAAGACGTAAATCTTCGATAGTCCGTTCCTGACCATCGGCCGACCGACGTCGAAAAGTACGGAGGGTCCCCGGCATCCTCGTCATCGGTTCCCGGGCTAGCTGGACGTCGACGCGGCCCGCAAACTGCTACGTCGTGATCCCAGGTCGGTCGTCTCATCCCACGGCGGACTTTTCCTGGTCTCGAGGCGCCTGGCCAGTTCCGGATGGAAACCTACGTGGACCTGTTAACATGTTTCTTTGTTTTCCTTCTTTTTCTTCCTTTTCTTCTAGGCCCGTACTCCAACGCTTTGGCGTAGCTGCGCCAAAGCGGGAAGATACGGCGCGTCCTCGAGGTTTTCGTCGTCGCTCCCTTCGGAGTCCGTCTCGGGAAGCGGCTCCGGGGTGGCTCCTAGCCTCACCAGCTCCCGAGCCAGCTGGACGTCGACGCAGCTCGCGATCTGGTACGCCGTGATCCCAGCGTAAGTCGGCGCGTCCAGGCAGGGCCTGCACTCGTGCAGGAGGAAGGTGAGGACGGATCTGCAGCCTCGCTCGACGGCAAGGTGCAGTGCCGTCCTGCCGGAAGTGCCTTCTCTCGCCTCCAGGTCGGCGCCCAGGCGCAGCAGGAGGCGCACGATCTCGACCTGACCCCCAGCAGCCGCGACGTGCAGGCACATCTCTCCTGGAAAAGTAAAATATGTATTAGTGATATTATCATACCGAAACCTGGGAAATACTCCGAGCGAGAGGATTTACTCTCCAGGGGAAATTAAATACTTCCGGCGATATAAACGTATCTTGCCAAAGTGATTTCTTAAGTCGATATGAAAGTGACGTCATAGAGGTCTCGTTTTTAATCGTCGTTTCAATCTTGAAAATATGAACACGAAAGCTATAAGGAGGATCCTGACGCTCATGAGATTTCAATTTTTTAACAATTTGTTTATAGATATGTTCAACATTTTTAATAAAAACTGAAACATTCACGAGGGTCAAGATTTTCCTTGCGAGGTTCCAAGGAAAGTTTTACGAACGATTGGCTCCTCGGATGCCACCTTCACATCCCTTAATTATTAAATCATTCTATCAATTCTATTTATTTCTCGTGCCAGGGGTGACCCGGGGGTCCCGAGACGCGCAAAACGAGGGCAACCTCCACCCCCTTCGGAATTACGCGGTCCATTCATAAAGCGCCCGCGGATCCGAGATCGGCGCCCCAGACCATCCCCTCCCCTCTCTCTCTCTCTCTCTCCAGGGTATTTTAAAGTCGCCGAGCACAGTCGCATGCCTCGACGCGATATAGATAGAACTAGGAAGCCGCGGTGAATCATTGTCGGAGACTTGGCCGTCGGCCCGCGGGCCAAACTAGGCTCGCGCCCGATCAAAGCGCCCGCTAAAATTAAATCCCCCTTTTTCCGCGAGCACCCGAGTGGCGGCGCCACTGTCGGGTCCCCGGGTTTCGCGCACGGAGCCGCGCCCACCGGCGCCGACGCCCCTGTCGGGTTTCCCGAGACGGGAATGCCGACGACGCGCAAATAGTCCCCGGTGTATTTTTAAATGTCAAAAACATCTGCGCGTCCCGGCCTCCGGGGGTCTCGGCGTCGCGCCGTGATGTAACGCGGCCGTGGGCCCGAGAAGTGCCGCGGGATTTTAAATCTCCCGCTCACCGGGCTCGCGGCGGATTTCAAATTTTCGCGCCTTCCCTGGCGAACGTCCTCGTCGAGGGCCGCCGCCGATGATGGATCTCTCGCCGGAGACGCGGCAGAAGAAGCCGGGCGATAAATTTAACCGTTAATTAAATCCGACTTCCCTTCCCGCCGACTAAACGACGTTCCGCCTCCTACCACGTGGTGGCGCGCGCCGCCGTCGGCGGTTTCGCGAACGGCTAAGATAACGAGACAAAGAGGGAAGGGGGGAAAAAAGCGTTTCGCTTAACGATTACGTTAGCACGAGCGCGCGGATAATGAAGCTTCATTATCTACCTTAACGACGGGCAAAACCGACCATGAGGACGATGACGACGGGCAATTAAAGCCGGTCCTTAAAGCCCGCACCACGTAATGGCCGCGGTACATCCTTGCTCGCTTCCCGTTCTCGTCGCTTGCGTGTTTTTAAAGAATGCCGAAAGAAGAAAAAAAAACTCGTATCAAAGGGTGGTTGTCCGTTAAACCGTCGAATTAGCACATATAAAAAAGGAGGAAAAAATATATACATGTCCCGTAATTTTAACCTTCCATGACGAGGGTCGATCGACCAAACCGACTACGACATCTGGGATACTTTCCTCGAGTCGCGTGGCAGTCCCCGCCCGAGTCACAATTAAAATCATACCAATAAGCTAGGAAAATGAAAATTATGAGATGATAAGGATAACTCGAGACCCTCCACCGTGGAATTCCCGGGGCGAGCATCGGCTCTCCGCCGCGTCCTAGAGATTCCTTCTGCGAGGAAACGTGCCCAATGAGTCAACGGACACGCGCGGCGTGTTGCATCTAACCGATCGCGCGGCACGGCGCATGCGCCAGGTTGACGATCGGGGAAACACAGGTTAGGTGCGCGTGACGTCACGTGGGAATTCCACGACACCGGAATCTCGGGCCAGAGTTCGCCGCGGCGACTCTCGGAAGAAACGAGGCTCGTAAATCGCCGTAGAAGAAAGAAGAAAAAAGAAAAAGAACCTTCCTCCGTCTCTTTCGCGTCACCTCAAACATTCATTTAAAAATGATACGAAAGGCTCTGGGAAATTAAATCGAGGTCGATTAATTAAAACTCATCCATACTCGTTTTGATGGGAACGCCGTTTTGAATATTCAAGCGGGACCATAAACTGGCGCGTCGCATTACCGACATTTATATTTACGTTGAAGTCTTTTACAGTCTACATTGATATTTATACAAATTGACGCGTTCCACATGTCATTTCGGTAAAGTAATGATAAAGAGATTGATGTGAAACCGTCGAAATCCCCTGAATTCATTATTCCAACGGCTATTTAGGTCGGACGTCGCCATCTGTGACGTTTAGCCGCAACTAAATATTTGCCCTAAAAACACGCGTTAGCCCCGAGACAAGCCATCATTCTCTCGCAATCGTTGGTGAAAGTATTTTCCATATTTTCCCATCTTACTCTGTAACAGTCCATTTCTATGGCATTCTAAATTGTTCGAGCTAGGCCCTGAAACTTCATCTTTTATTCTAAACCCCAAAGAAGCGTAAAATGTCGAAAACATGCCCGGGCCATGCCATGTTGGTTCTAGTCCATAATAAGTAAATAAATCTTCGATAATAAATGATATTTCACGAGTTTCAGGATCCACTTCAGGGCCTCCAAAAACGTGGTAAAATTTGAAACGAATCGGTGCACCCAATTCGGAGAATACTTTTCCCAACGATTTGACTTCTCATATATATATGAGAAGAATATATGTATAGGCTGACTCTTTCGTATCACCTTAAACGAGTCAAAGTTAAATGAATATCTGTAGGTATCACAAGTAACGGATCTCGCCCGGACCCGAAAGACTCGCCGAGGCGAGCAAGGGTTAAGAACCACCGGTGTGTATAAACGCGAGCGAGTCTCCGCGCACACATCGCGGCGAAGAAGCGCTCCAACGAGATAACCGGTCCCAGACCTCGGAAGCGGCCGCGAGCTAATTGGCAATGAACGTTACCTCGCGCGGCCGCCGGCAACGCGAAAACCACGGGAAATCCCAGACAGGGCTGGGTAAAGTATCCCCGGGGAGGCGGGGCGTCAGCGTCGAATCGAGGCACGCGAGTTGCCATGGCAACGAGACACGGAAGAAGGAGGGGGGGAAGGGACAGAAGTCGCGCGACAGGGTAGGCATAAATCCGTTTTCTTTTTTTTTTTTTTACAAAAAGCCCAGTCCAATGGTTTATAACCGGTTTAAACCATATTTGCTGGTTATTACCGCCTAAATAGTAGCCTAAAGAACAGTGGTTAAAACCTGGTTAACCTCTTTCAGCGTTAAGCCCCTTTTGGCGTATGGGCGAAATTCATCAGGGCGTGCAAGCGATATTGGACCAAACGTCGAACGTACTTGTGGGTCCATAGCAGTGAGAGTTAAAACCTGGTTTAAACCATGCTTAAACCGGGTTCTTTTCATTGCTTTATCCCGAGCATATGTAACGAAAATATGTTTTAATGCTTCCTAAACCGTAGATAGGTTAGAATTTATTTTCATTCCTTTGCATGCGAGAGGAGCGCACGTGCGGGTACAGAGTGCATACGATAGAATAAACTCCACGCTACATACACCCTGATGGATTTTTATAAGACGGTTTAACAGGTTACGACCCTGGTCAGAACCGAGTAGGTTTTATGTAAAGTGTTTTATTCACTGGAAAAGAAATAAAACCGGGAAAAAAAAAAAGAAAACCGCCGGTTTCAACGGGAATGGGTCAAACTTTGCGAACCCCGCCGCGCGAGCGGACCTCCACGGGATTGCCCAGGATTTACGGCTTTCTCTTCGCAGCCGCTCCCCCTCCGCGGCTCTTCCGCAGCGGAAACCGGAGAGAGGCTCGCCTCGCCTCCGCCGTTTCGTAAGACTCGGGAAACACGGCCGAGAGGAGTGGAAATGAAAATAATAACACGACCGACCTTGGAAATTAAATTGAGAATTTACTGTCGAAAGAAAATATATTAAAAAGTAAATAAATAAATTAATAAAAAAAAAACACGCTACTCTTTTGTAAGGTGCGGCCGAGATTAGTGGAAATGAAAATAAAAACATGGCCGACCTTGGAAATTAAATTGAGAATCTACTGTCGAGAGAGTATATTAAAAAAAAAAAAAACAACCACACGTCTCACTGTTCCAAATAAGCGCCTCTTTTGTAAGGTGCGAGAGCCTATACGTCCCCACCGTCTCGTAATCCTCAAAAAGGGTTCTCGTACCACGCGACGCGGCAAGATGGCGGCGTATCGAGGAAGAAGGTAAACGAAAAAAAAAAAAACGGTTTACGAGCCAGCTCGGCGATGCGCCAAAAATCCCGAGGATCGGCAACACCTCGTGATCAGAAATTGGACCGCAGCTCGCGGTTTCGCCATCGAGGCCCGTTTACCCAAGGAATCTGTGATTCACGGTCTCGCAGTTTCCCGGGGGGGGGGAGGGGGGAGGGGAGAGGGAGATTCGCGAAACCGATTCATCACGGCGGGCTTTTACGCGCGGAGATTTTCCCGGCGCTGTCCGTCCGCAGGTGTAAGGAAGGGGCCGCCACGCGGAGAGAAAGAAGCGGCAGCGCGCGTTTTCACGACCGACCGGCGGAGAAAGCCCCCCCGGCGGTCGTACCTGACCGGGAAAATCCAGAAGAAAATCACCAGCGGTGAGGGCGAACGACAAAGAATGACGAAGGTACGGCGGGATAGGACAACCTACAAAGAATGATAAAGGAACGGCAGGAGAGGACTGTCGACAAAGAATGATAAAGGAACGTCAGGATGGAGCGAAGGGTCTCGAAGAATGGGAAACCATCCTGCCGATCCTACGAATGTACACGTGGAGGATGAAACCGGAAACCCGGCTCACGCTGGCTTGCCGAGGGTCAATGTCGGAATTTCCCCGTAGGAATCGAAATCGGCGTCGAGAGCCACCTTTGCAAAATCTCGCGCGAGCGCGCGCGACTCTACGGGATTTCGTCACGACGGGATTCCCCGGTCGGCGCGAGTTCTCTCTAGCGTCCGCAACGCGGGCCGGGTTTCCGCTTATTAAAAAGCCTGATTTCATCGCCAGTGTTTTCAGCCTCTCTTTCTCTCTCGCACCCGCGCGAGAGTTAGTCCCCCCTTCGAGAAATTAGAAATTAAAATCCGGAGGTAAGTGCGCGCGAGGTGCGCCGCCTTCGCGAAGGTGAAGGCCTCCGTTACGTGCGCTCGCGTGTACGCGCATATAAAAACATACAGAGTGTATGTACATTTATTTATACGCATCATGCCTAAAGATCGTTACCAATGACAAAATACGAGTTGCGACCTAACCTCCCTCTCTTCGAAACTTGAAATCTTCAGGCGAGGCTTCCGCGTTCCGTTGGTTATTAATCGTCGACGTCGAAGTATTGAATTATTGAGTTTAAATCGCGAGCAAGAAAAAAATAAAACCAGAGAGAGAAAAATTGAATCGTTAGCGCACGAAGGTTAAGGCCTCGTTAGCACGTGCGCGCTCCTCGATGACGTCGTATGATTTCTCCCGGTGCAAGGTCAAACGCCTGATATGTCCGGATCGAAGAGACAGGAAGTCGAGCTTCAACGTATCCCCCCCCTTTGTTTTTTAACACCCCGACGTGGAGAATTCTCTTTTCGCTTACCGTCGTAGTTTCGTTGTTCCAGATTTTGAGGCAGGACAGGTATCCTCCTCCCAGGTACGAGGTAACTCCTCTCCATCGGAGAGAGAGGGTCCGTAAGGGCTTTGCAGCACGCAAGGTCGCCGGATGCACATGCCAGATGCAACGCCGTATTCCCTCTGGTGTTCCTGAGCGCCGGGGTTGCTCCGGCTAAAATCAGCCGCCTGGCGATCCTCGGTTGATGTGTCAGCACCGAGAGGTGTAACGGAGACTGACCGTCGTCATTAACGATGTTTAATAGGCACGGGTGCGGCGCCATCCTGATGAGGCTTAACGCTGCCTCCAGGAATCCTTGGACGATGGCGATATGCAGCTGCCTGTAAATTGCAAGGCATACTACGTTACGAGTCGAAAGTATTTATGAGAGAGCAATGCGAATTTACCGTGACCAAATAAGAACGGTGATATATTATTTAATTAGTCACTCGACAGACTCCACTAGTGGGATGTGACTAATGAACCTACATACTGATATAATCAAGACCGATAAGGCAATCGCTCAAGATTGCGACAAGATATTTAAAGCACGATCCATGTTCTTAAAAAATTATGGCGATTCTTAAGAAAAGTAGGAACCCCTTCACGCGACAGCTTGGAACGAGAAAGAACTTACGTATCGCCTTCGTCGTCCTGCATGTAGTATAATTCCCAAGGCTCTCGGTTGAATTGCTTGGCCTCACTCTCCGATTTATGCAACGGCTGCTGGTAGTTCTGCACCTTCCTCGGTTCATCGATACCGATAACCTTGGTTCTAAGAGGAGTCAACTCGATGGTAGGCTCGGATTGAACCTTGTTGTTCCCAAGAGGGTTGAGGGTGACCTGCTTGAGGGTCAACTGACTCAAACTCTCGCTCAATCCCAGGTCGACTCCGCTGTCGGCTCTCATGGGTTCCAAAGCCACGGGAGCGCTTTCTCTCAGTTCTGGATCGTGCTCTGCTGATTCCAGGTTCAGCTCCGAGCTGACCAGATTTGCCCCTGACAGGAATCCGGAGTCCACGTTGCCAGAGTCGTACTGCTGCTCGCTTGCCTTATCTGGAACATTGCTCTCCGTTGACTCCTCCGAGTGCGTCTGCTGCGGATGCCACATTTTCACAAGATTCTCAAGACAATACGGCGATATCGTTACAGATCCCTCTTTTTTTACGGTCGAAGGGTCAACTTCGACACCCTGTATACTTGACGGCACAGGGCGGAAATGCAATAACGTCCTTCTAACCTCGAGTGTACCACCCAACGATAAAATCAGCTATTATTATATATAAATTCGTGTTCCTCGCTTCATTCGACAACTAAAATCGATCTAAAGTCGCACTTCAGGCCTTGTCGAGGATCCCTGATCGTGTCAGGGCGCACAGGGGCTCTGAACGCGAACCTAACCTCACATTCCTCATGCTAATCTCGTTCGGTGGGTTTCGTTAATTCGCGATTAAATCGAGATGCGTTCTTTTAAAGCACGCATGCGTGAGTCGTTTCGATGCGACGTTGATTCGCTGATTAACGGAGTCCTCTTCTCGAGTCTTCGCTCAGCCGTGGCTCCGTTTCGCGTCTTTCTCTCCCGCACTCTCTGCCTGACCTATTCTCTTCTCTCTCTCTCTTTCTCCTCCGAAGTTATGAACGTTACGAAACTCGAGCCCACGGTTCGCGCACTATCTCCTCGCACTCCCACGTCCTTGGTGATCGTCGGATCGTTGTCGAACGAAAGCTCATCAATCGAGGGATCGTAATCGAGACACTTGGCGACGCAGACCGACACGGACAGACGTCAACCCGACGCGAGTATCCGCGCTAATGGCGCCAACAGTGGGTGCGTGCGCCGTGAAGCGCGCGCGGCGCTACCGGTGGCGCGCCTGGCGGGGCCGCCGCGAACTACGAAAATCGCGGAGTGGTGGAAGAAGGGAAAACCCACTAGCCTCGGCGGCCCCGCTGTGCTGGTATGGGACCAATTGGAACGAACGCCCAATTTCGCGGCCATGTATCGCGCATGCTGGACTTTTCTCCCGCGGGCCAAGATTTGCTATATTTAAGTGACCCCGCGCGCAGGAAAACATTTTATCCGTTCAACAATTTCATTGACTGCGTTTGATGCCTTTCAGAGAACGTTACCGTCGAGCGAACCGAATTTAAGCTCACTTTACCTATCTCGTTAGGTTTAAAGTATTTCATTAGGCCGTTTTGTTCATTTCAGAATGTATTTCAGACCAGATAGACCATAAATTTCGATTAAATGCCCCGAGCTACTTTAACGCTTGGGGTGATCTACCAGACCGGAGAAACACGAGACGTTTCGAAATGGATTCTGCGTCGCGAGGGAATTATCGAAACGGTATTCGAAGTGGAATGCGATTGTCTCGCGGCCGTTTATGGTGCATCGAACCACGGAAGGTGGGAGATGGGAAAACCCGCTCGCCTTCTCAGCCCGACCGATCACGCGCGGAACCAATTGAAACGAGCGCTTAATTTCTGACCGACCTAACCTCCCACAACGCAACCCACTCTGCGCTTTTACCTACTGGCGGGACAGCCTTATTTGCGTGCACCCTCGTGATAATACTATTTGCGCATATTTTTAGATCGTAACATGCGACATTTAATTAAAGCCAATGATTATCTTCAAGAAATTCTATCGTCTCATGTCGCGGCGTCAACTTGCGATTGCCAGGCTCGATGGAACTATTGAAAAATTAAAATAAACTCCGATTTATGTCCGGGAGATTAATAGGGATTGGATTTCGCCTATTTCCTTTTATAGCCAATAGAACAAGGGACAAGGAAAAAAAACAAAAAAAAAAAGAAAATTAGACATTCACGCCATTTTATTACAGTCTTCTTCCCGGGTGTAAAGGTCGTAACGAAATGTTTGTAATGCCGTTTGATTGCCCGATTAGGACCAGCATGGACTCAGTCGATGATTTCTTGTATCGCAACGCTTTCGTCGATGATGAAAGCCCGAGAATGTCTCGAACGGCCCTGGAAATTCCGGGTTTACATTCGAAGACTGTAGAGTAGGAATTATCTCAGCTGCATTTACGCAATTTCGAGACAACTGCAGTTACCTAATGAGCTAATGCACGTTAAGACGTTTCGTCTGCCATTTTGGAGAATATCTACCCTTTCAGAATTATACCGGTCTCCCGGGTGAACTTCATTTATAAAGCCGAACGGTATTCAGAGACCAAATGGTACTTAACCGACGTCAATATTGGACGGATTTGTAATCGTAACGAGGGTTATTATTATTTTCCTTTTTTTTTTATTCTTTTCGACGAACAATTAGGCTGACTCATTGTCGGCGAACCCTCGGATATCGGATCTAAAGTCTGATTTTCTTCCACATTTTGGGCATTCCGAACGACTCGGGGAAACCCCGGATTACCTGGCGCGTTAACCCTTTCGAGCAAACATACTTCGCCCACGTTTTCTTTCCTTCCCTCGATTTTTTCCCACCTTACCCGCTTTAACCAACGTGTACAGTACCAGTCCCATAAAAAGACTGCGAAGAATTACCGTCCTTCTTATTATAACATTTACAACTACTAGTTTTAATACGAGATTACTGATTAATTGGAATTGTGCATCGGAATGGAAAATACGGGGACACGTTTAAACTGTAACGTGTCGATAGGTATCATCGATAAGGCGGGATCTTTAATCATTGGTAGTGCTCCGCGATAAGAATGCACAATAAATAGATAAAGAGCGATAAACATAGTATCTGGGAATTCCGTCTGCTGAAGGTGTCAATAACCGGGGTCATTTGCTTACGTAGAGAACGAGACAAATATGATTAATAATGGAAGTCCCGAGCCGATTCTCGTAACCCTGATATTCTCCTCCAACATCCTACGATATCTCTTTCGATAAATCGTCCGTTCGGTACATCGATAACGAATCGACGTTCATCTGCTCTACTTTTTTCCCTATTGGTCCTTTCATAGAATTCTGTCGCCTGAGAACCATTCCAACCCTTGAATCGCGAATATATTTACGAATCCCATGGTTAAGGTGATGTGAAAGTGGCGTCGAAGAGGTTTTGTTTATAAAACTTTTCTCCCAACTCGGTTTACCGAATAGTTTGAAACTTTACAACGTGAATAGGGAGACTATAAGGAAGGTCCTGAAACTCGTGAAACTTCAATGGATTGAAAATTTCTTCCTAGATATTTGTAAAGTTTCTTGCAGGAAATGAAATTTCATAAGTGTCAGGGCCTTCCTTATAGCCTCCACATTTACATAGTGAAGTTCGAATCGATTCAGCACACCCAATTCGTAAAAAAGTTTCCTGCATGATTTAACCTTCGGATGCCACTTTCACATGCCCTTAATAAACATTGAATTCCCGTAAACGGGATTCATCGTGGAATCAACGGTGGAGGTCCTGAGAGGAACCCAGGGAATCCCAGGAGGGACCACAGCCAAAAGGTCTGCTGCGACGCGATAGGATATCGCTTCGGCGTACAATAATCGTCTCTTCATGCGGGATTACGGGCCGGGGTAATTTCGGTCGGGACCTTGATTTCGGCGGGTATTCCCTGTGCCATCGCGTTATTTCTCGTGTCGTTAACTTTCGTCGGTCTCGAGCAAATCCTGCTGCGGGACGGTCTTCGTGACCACGCGTCCGCCATGTGCGCCTTGGCCGTTAAGGCTTTCGAGCTTCGAATGCCTCCACGGTTTTTCCCAAGGCGTCCTGGCATACTTGTCGTTTATTCGGCGTGTGGGAAATCTGCGAGGAAATGGGCCATCCTCGATTCCCTCGTGGCCAGCCTTCGCGGAAGCGCCGGAGAAAGCGAGGATAGCGGGCGAAAATCCGCAAAAAGTCTACGAGGAGAGAAATCATCAGCTGTGCGAACCTGGAATCCAGTTTGAGGCACAATGTGAACAATCTTATTGGAATGTTTCCGTGATGTAGACATTTGTGCCATGTTGTTTTGTTTGTGGGATTTTTTTTTTACGAAAACCAGAGCTGTTCAAAAAGATAAGCAAATTCCGACATCGTGGAAATTTGGATCTTTCTACTCTAATGGGCTTTCTTCTCTGATGTTAGGGAAATTCGCGACCTTCCAGAACTTCAAAAACGTTGTAATGGTAATTTTCGGAATTTCTTTATTTTTTTTTAACAACTCTGATTTTTGTAAAAAAAAAATGGCACAAACGTCTACATCACGGAAAAATTCTAATACGCCTGTCAATTATGTTTGCGCTTCAAACTGGATTCCAGGTTCACAGAGCCGAAATCGGCGTCCTCTTTGATAGAAGTCAGAGAACACCGAGAGAGTAGTCGGTGTCCTTCCTCTGTGCCCTTTGACCCCGAACTCCGGCGGTCACGTGGAAAATATGCAAAACTCGCGAGGGATGCGCTCCTTCCTCCGTTATTTGCATGCGAAGAGCTTTCGCGTAAGCGCCGGGGAATCCTGCCGGTCGTTCCTCCGCTAGCTAGGCCACGTGCTCGGTCTTCCCGGACTTTCTCCAGAGGTCGAAATTGCCACCCGAAGGTGGTTTTTCCCGGAACCCGCCATTGTCCTTTCCGAGCTAACGCGGCCGTCCCGTCGGGCGAAACGATGTGCGTTTATCCTTGACAACGAATAATGTAATGTTCCGCGGTGCAACCGATAAACCGGGGAATTCTCCAGAGGCCAGGGGGGAATCAAGGTCTCTCCTTGATTCCGCGAGGTCCCACGAGGGGCACATGTGACACCGCTCGCGACGCGTGTCCTTCGACTTTCGAGACCAGGTAGAGCGGGATTTTCGCGGGCACACGCGCGAACGAGCTATCTGGGGAAAACCTAAGATACCGCCGCAGAAAATCCGCTATCGGCTTTCGGTCGCGCCGAGGGAGAGGAGCGCCCCGCGATGCATCGAGTCTTGCACGTGGAAGCCTGATGGACGAACTCAACACCCTGATTTCACTATCAAAACGGCAGACCGTTTTGTTCCTCTCTTCTTTTTTTTTTTTTTTTTCTACGAAACATATGCGCGGGGCAATTCGACGACGATCTATCTAATAAACTAGCAAGAAGAATTCAGTTTTCGAGCTCCACATACGACCCCCATCGATCATCCTTCCGCCGCGACTGCTGTCGGGCGAATGACCGCTCCTCCCTGGTCGGATCGCTTTATACTCCTGAGATGACGGCGAGGTCACGTGACCAAGGGATACGTCCCTTTAAATTGAAGCGGGAGAAACGAATTTCCTCGTTAGCTAATTTCATGTGTGACAGACGTCCGTTACCGCCGAATTACGTAAACGTTTATTACTATCCTCGTTTTTATCTTCCTTCCGCTACTACTTTCCTGTATTTATGGAGACAAATTGGACGTACGCATTTGTATGCGTACTTGTCCGCGGAGGACAAATATGTCACGAGTTTTGTGGGGGAAAAAAAAATGGTCGTGGAATATTTTTATGTACTATTAGCTAACGATCTTCGACGTAGCGAGACAGTTACGGCTTGGATTAAAATAAGGGAAGAGGAACGCTTTATCCTCGAGTAGAGGTTAATGGACGGATAAGACGATCAAGACTCCCGTACGACCTTTTGATTATTACCGAGCAAATATCGAACGGGTTGGCGCCAGCGATATAAGCTTTTTCCTATAAAAGCCTCTCGGGTAAATCCTTCGACGAGGAATCGCCCAGGAATTTCGGAAAGTACGATGAGTCAATTGTTGCGCGCGTCGAGCTCGAGGGTTTTCAGATGTCATTGGACCGTTTCGCGAGTGGCTTGATTTAAAGAACGAGGCACTAATCTACTGGCTCAAAATCGGCAATACTAAATATCAGTATATCCGACATTTTAAGATATAAACGGTTCAATTTTTATAAACATCGATCGACTATTCTCAATGACTAGCATCGCTCGGTTTCACCTACTCCAAAATATTTTCGCATTAATCCCTGGCAAAAAGTTGGTTTTTCTCTTCCGTAGTAACTAAAAGGATTCAAGGAGCTCCAACCCATTGCCGAGGTTAAAACCACCCATTTTATCAGAGTATTAAAAAATTGGCAAAGCGCTCTTAATAAGAAAAAAAAAAAAAAAGAAAAAAATGACAGAGGGAAGCTGTAACGACGCGCGAGAGCCCATGGCCAGGCCTTATTAAATTCAAAGGAAAATTTTTCCGAGTAGCCGTAGACTCAGGGTCTTTCTGCGTGGATTTAAAATTTGTAATTTTCTCGTAAGATTTTAAGGAGTGAACTCACCCTTCGAGGTCGAGGGAGAATCTTCGATGAAGAAGAGGAACAGCATTTCCGGACGGCCGGGCGAGAGTCACTGCAGCGCGCGAAGCCGCTGCGGTCCACGTCTCGGGACCGACACACGCTGAAGCGGGAGGTCCTTACCCGAGGAGGCGTACCCGTAAAATCGCAGGAGGGAGAGAAGGGTTTCCCTCGGTGAAATCCTCCCCTTCTCGAATGTGAACGAAGGCAGGCGAAGGTAGACGGAAGCGGCCGAATGCAGGCGTTATACGAGCTCCTGGGAGGCGCCCTTGCCCTTATAGGGAATCCCTAGGGCTCCGTGTTCGTTCTTACGTTGAAAAGCGGTCGGGAAATACCTAACTATGCTGGTCCTTGAGATTTTTACCGGGCTGGTGGCCCGTGCGAGTACCGGCACTTACCCTGAGACGTATCGCCCGAGACCCTCGGCTTGCCGCCCCACGTGTGGGACAATAAATCCTCCGAGACGGCCGGATTACCTGCCCCCCTTGGTTGCCTCGCCGCCGACTTGGGAAAACAAGGAGGCGATAGGTACATACGGGTTTATCGCCGCGATTAGGATCGCCCACGATAAGCCCCGAGGATTGCCTCTAGAAGTGCCGGAAATTCGAGACTGACGGTTTCGTTACTGGTCCTTTAAGACGAGTATTTTACCAACCGTAACATGACTTCCTATAACCTCGTTTCTCTGATTCCGTGGAGTTTAAGGTCCAGTCAACTTCAACTTTGTATGCTCATCTTTTAGTAATACCGAAAGAATGTCTATGAATTAATTCCAATGAAAATATATTTTCTCATGTATTTAATACATTACTGTCTTTCTCGCGAATACGTTATAGAGGTTTTTGTGAATTGGATTGATTCTGATAAACGGCCGGAAAAGACGGTACTCTTCGGATTAAATGTATCACAATGTATCTGTGTAAGGATGATTAAATTAAAAATAGGATTGTATTAAAAATTAATGTGCTCCAGCACCCCCAATCTGATAAGCGGCTCGCAGTAAGCTCTGGGCAGTAAGTGATGAGTATTCTTCTTTAAAACGACTACTTGACCATCTTCGAATTCATACTTGCCGTAATCTACTAAACATCGTACCTGCAAAAAAAACCATTACTTTGAATGAGGCTAATTCGCTGTAATGGGATTCGGCAGCCAAGCCTTGGCTAACAGAACAATTTACAGAAATTAGTTAAGTATTTACTTCGATGTGCAGACTTTTTGGTGGTAAGGTATCCATTGTGAGATTAAGCCCATTCTCTCCAATAGATTTCATGTATACTGCCAAGGATTTGCTATAGTTTTTGAACCACTGATTTTCCGGTAAAATTAAGTTTGAACTAACTTCCGGTGGCAGGAAACTACCAAACTCCCATCGCATTTGTCTTAGTCTTCTCATTCGATTATAAAGGTATGCAAGAAGACAACGCTTATTGCGAGTTAAAGCTGTGTGTCGAAAATGTACCGAATGGTGAAAACTTGTGTCCACTAATGTAACGTCTGAATCCGAATCTCTTGTCCTGGTAGCATGTTCCCTGCAAAAAGTAATCAAATGCTGTTTAAATGTCGCTTAAGGGAAGCAGAGAAACGACGGAGACACATATAATGATACCAACACGTGATCCCTGTTAGCATCGTAAAGTAATTTCATTTCTTCCAGGACGGTGCCGAATACGTGCACCTGTAACACATATTAATGGTTAATAAACCATAATTTGTTAAACTTGTTAGTGTCATCAATGTCCACTTAAGGCAGCTTAAAAATTGCTACAAACAGAGGAAAAACCTTTGCAAACACAAGTTCATGTTAATAGCAAATATTGTTATTCAAGGTTAGCAAAGGTAATACTTACATTAAATGGTGGAATGTTATCAATCGACTGATTCAGTTCCACGAGAAGTTTTATGGCATTATCTCCAAACATTTTTCTCTCCTGTAATATATTAGTCTTAACCGTAACCGTAAATACCTAAATTCTAAACTATTCCTAAATAACTTTACGCGGGGTTTTTCGGACGTCAACCGCCACATTTATGTTTATTTTTGAAAATGAATCCGAACGGAGCGACACCGTCAGGGAAAATTAGTAAGCAGGCAAAAATAAGTTAGGTTAGTTTAACCTAGCCAGGTAGTTAGAAATTACTGCCGGTTACTACGTTGAGTTTGAAAATGTCGCTGATTTTTCGCAATTTGTTAACAAGATTGCAAGCATGTCCTTATCGGTTTGCGGCATTCAGTACAACATTAGAAACTCCGCCAGTGAGTGAGGAAATAGAGCCGATCATCTCGACGAGAAGTTATCTGAACGATGATCGACTTTACGCCAAACATAGAGAGGTATGGCTAGAAAATTTGGATACTTACAAGGAAAAGAAGTTGGGTCTTGTCACCTTACATCCAGAAATATTTGCAACTCTACCACGCATTGATATACTACATCAGAATATCAGATGGCAACGACTGTATCGCTTTGTTGTAAGTAAACATTTTCCTATCTTGCCAACAGCAATATCGTTATTTATTCGCATAAAATGGTAAATTGATTTCCAGAGCGATAATTAATTTAAATTTTATGTTCGCAGTCATACGCTCATACAAAAGTAAGGTCAGAAGTACGAGGAAGTGGTCGTAAACCTAGACCACAAAAGGGAACTGGAATGGCCCGTGTAGGAAGTATTCGGTCACCACTTTGGCGAAAAGGAGGTAGAATTCATGGGCCTCGTTCTCCTACAACACACTTTTTCATGCCACATTTTTATACACGTGTACTGGGCCTTATGTCAGCTTTATCAGTGAAGCTGGCTCAAGATGATCTACATCTTATCGATAAACTTGATATCCCATCGCAAGATCCTGATTTTATGCTTACTTTAATCGAAGAGAGAAATTGGGGGCCCTCGGTACTTTTTGTCGATACCGACGACATCATGGCAGAAAATATAACAATAGCAACCGATCAGATTAAACACGTAAATTTGATGCCAGTTTACGGTATGTTGTTTTTATTAATGACGAATTTAATCCTTTTATTAGAAAATAAGAAAAGGATGTGCTCATAAATAATAATTCATTTTTCAGGATTAAATGTTTACAGTATGTTGAAACATGATACTTTAGTCCTCACTGAAAGAGCAGCACGTCACATAGAAGATAAATTATTGTTTCACTTAAATAGATCCGACAGTAACCGACTTACGAAAAAGTTTAAGGTTAATCAACAGTAAATAGTATGAGGTTGAATTAATAATGTACATTTAATTCATTTAAATAAAATACCATAAGATGTTTCTTTCAAATGCTTTTTCACTCAGCACATGTTACGATGAAGCACATCATCAATATCAGTACTATATGCAGAATCTTATTAAACTTAAAAATATAATACGCGTAGAAGTCATCACCTTTTTTTCATTATTGTAGTGCTTGAGGTCTTCTTTGGAATAGGCTATAATAAAAAAAAAAAATTCAAATTCTGTAATAACAATAAACTCAATAAATTACATTTAAGTAAATTACCATTGGATTTGGATCCATTCCAAGCATTCTTTCTCGTATTGCCCATCTAACACTAGGGTGGTAATTTTCACCAGGAAGTGACAATTGTTTCCATTCATGTTGGTACTTTTGATAAAGTGCAACTGGATCGCTCTTCTTATTCTGCACACTTTTTTGAGCTTCTGCATGTAATCTCCATGGTCTAATGACTAAATTCAAATGTTTTATTAAAATTATCTTCATACAGTAAAATCATTTAAAGAACAAAAATTAAAATTAACTTTTTTCAATCAAAATAACTTACAAGACTTTTGTCGAGTTCTTGAGGAGCTTCTCCTATCTACAACTCCAATTGGATCTGATGCCGAGCTTTTAGGTCTTGTTGGAGGGTTTTGTCTTGCTAGTTCAGGAGCACTACCAGGTCTTTGATGCATCTGCATTTTTGGAGCAGAATCTTTCTCCGTTGTTTCTGCTCTTCCTATCCTAGTCATGGGTTCTTCAGAAATTCTAGATTCTGCTGCATCCACACGTGATAGGCTGCCTACGTGTACTCTAACTTTACTTCTTGAACGTTTTATACATTGCAGAGTATCTGTATTAGAACTACTTTCCTTTAGACGTTTATCATATCTGTTATTAACTTCCTCTTTTTGAAAATTGAATGGCTTTCTGGTCACATTTTGCTCAGACATTTTTGAATCCAAACAATGCCTTTGAAGTACCTCTTCCATCCGCTTATTTTCTTTATCATCGGAATGGTAACGCACCTTAATCCTAACGGTAGATTCCTCTTGAGCGGATGATGTAGAAGACACTGTACTTTCGGTCACATTTAAATTCATCTCTGCAGTGCATTCGCGCAACAACTCTTTACACATGTGTTGTTGTTTACTTAGAATTTTATGCTTTGTTTCTTCCTTCCATTGTTGTCGCTCTCGCTCCTTGATTTTTCTGTACATTTTTAAATCTGTGAAAAAGGAGAGAATATGAACGATCAGTTCTTTACAAGCCATTAAGGTAATGAGCTCTTTTTTTAGCGCTGGAGTATGAGATATCTAATCGATACTCAAAACAGAGAACAGTATTTCAGTAAAATAACGGAATGACATTATAATAATGAAATATAAATGATCCTTTCAAAATGTTTGAAAGTCCCGATTGTCTAATTTTAAATTGGACAATATTCGATCAATATTTTGACGATTTAATTGAAAGAAAACCGTTAACAGTATCTAACCTTTCATGAATGCTTTTAACTGTGGTCCTGTAATTCCGACGAATCCCAAGGAGTTCAAGAGAGCGAGCACCTCGCGTGGATCATCTCGGTTTTCTGCCATCGTTTAGGTTGCTATGAATAAACAGTTTAATTATATTTTGTCTTGAATACAAAACTACTGTACATTATTCAAACAGAGATGAGTTGGGAGATTGCTCACGGGCAGGGCCGTGCGATCGCAACCTGTGCTGCCCTCTGGTTTCGTACGTTAGCTTACACCGTTTTTTGCCCCCAAGGGCGACGCAACGAATTTCCGATAGGAGCTCGCGTACTCGCGATGGCGGTACCATCTACCAGTCGCCGTTTGCGGCTCACGTACTCGTGATGGTAATACCATGCGGCAGTTGACGGTTGCGGCTTACCTACGCTTACCAACACTGCTCGCTTTTGAGGGTAAGGGAAGAACATTCGTGACGCTCCATTAGACTTTATCTACTTATCTACTACTATTATGTACATTGTTGCCTCGAAGTCGACGTGATGCAGAGCTTTGGGGCACGCGTCGGTGTCGCGTACGAAATTCTCATTCTGCGAATCTGCGTGAGTGCGATCGCTCCTAAAAATCTTCGCGCGTCCCAACCAGTCAAGCGCCAAACTACGGGTCGGGACGTTGAGTATGTGTGCGTTCGGCGCTACACTCGACGAGTATGCGTGAGAGTCGAATACTGCGAAAAATCCTCCCGAGGCTTACTTAACTGTGGATGTAAGGCCGAGTCATTTCGCGTATGATTTTTACATTTCCCTAATAGCGTTTCTAGAGCGTTTTTAGGCGTTTCTAGAGCGTTTTTGAACGTTTTCGAGCGTTATCTAGCGTTATCGAGCGTTTTTCGATAGTTTTCGAACGTCTTTGAGCGTTTCCTTGATCATTTCCAGAGCATTTTCGAGCGTTTTCACGCATTTTCAGAGCGTTCTCGAGTGTTATCGAGTGATATTCTAGTGTTTTCGATCGTTATCGAGGGTTTTTCGAGTGTTTTCGAACGTTTTTAGAACGTTTTCGAGCGTTTTCGAGTGTTTTCGAGCATTATCGAGCGTTTTCAAGCGTTTTCGAGCGTTATAGAGCGTTCTTCAAGCGTTTTCGAGCCTAATCGAAGGCCGTACAGTGCCGTTGAGTGTTGTTAAGTGCAGTAGAGTGCTTGAGAGTGCCGGAGAGTTGCCGCAGGGTGGCGAAGAGTTGCCGTAGAGTGCTGGAGAGTGCCGGAAAGTTGCTGCAGAGTGCCGCAGTGTGCTGCAGAGTGCCGGAGAGTGCTGGAGAGTGCTGGAGAGTGCCGGAAAGTTGCCGCAGAGTGCCGGAGAGTGCCGGAGAGTGCCGGAGAGTTGCCGGAGAGTGCCGGAGAGTGCCGGGGAGTGCCGGATAGTTGCCGGAGAGTGCCGCAGGGTGCCGGAGGGTGCCGGAGAGTGCTCGATAGTGCCGGAGAGTGCCGGAGAGTGCTCGATAGTGCCGGAGAGTGCCGTAGAGTTGCTGGAGAGTGCCGGAGAGTTGCCGCAGAGTGCCACAGACTGCCGCAGAGTTGCCGCATAGTGCCGGAGAGTGCCGCAGAGTGCTGCAGAGTGCCGGAGAGTGCCGGAGAGTGCCGGAGAGTGCCGGGGAGTGCCGGGGAGTGCCGGATAGTTGCCGGAGAGTGCCGCAGAGTGGCCGCAGAGTGCCGCAGTGCGCCGGAGAGTGCCGCAGAGTTGTTGCAGAGTGCCGGAGAGTGCCGTAGAGTGCCGTAGAG